AATTTCCGAAGTTGAAAGGACCACAGCAACCAGCGGAGCTCCGAGGCAATGGCAGCCATGTCTAGTCTTAGCCCGTCTGCAGCAGCCCTCTCTCTGCATAGCCGTGTGTGAAGGACCGCTGGCTCTGATGGCAATTTTTTGTTTTATTTGGCAAAATGTTTATTTGATTTGTGTTTATCTGACTGTGTTCATTATTATTCCCCCACTAAATGAAAAAAGTAATAATTTATTATTATCTAGAGACTATCAATAACAGGCGGTGAAATGCAGCTCCAGACGAGCTGAGCGTGTAGTGATGTCATCAGTACGCTTCTGTTCCAATTGACCCATATTTATGCTGCGTGCTCCCGTTCTCCCATAGTCCACTCTATCCTGTGTTCTTCTCAAGAACATACTTGGCGAGGACACGAGTCTGTAATCGTGTTCTTTTGAATTGAGAAACGGCCATTGTTTTTAGCTCATGTACGGTATAACGTCTATTCGATGGTTCTGTTTTTGTCCTCTTCTTCTTCTTCTGGTTTACGTTATCTTACAACCTGATATTGTAATAGTGAGTTAATTTCCAAATAATTTCATTACCAAACTGGCATGCACTTCCATCGGATAACTAAAATAACTTTAAGTAAATAACGGCGGCTCATTTCAAGCACAGAGAAAACACAATTGATTGCTATTACCCTTAAAGTCCCCAAGCTCCATCCCAGCTGAATCAGACAGCAATTATTTGTCTTAATATGCTCTGCTGAAGTGAGGGTGAGTGGGTGGATGACTGTTGGAGAAATGCTGACTTAGAGCTAGATACAGAGTATGTGCTTCTGTCTCCCTTATAGGCATTAGGGACTCAATGTACCAGCAGTTTTATGTGGGCTCTTGCGTGGCTTGTGAGATTTAAACCACATCCCACATAACCTATACACAGCCATATAGATCAGCCCTAATGCTTAAAAGCTTCACAAAGTAAAATCCAGCCCTGCAGCTTATGATCTGATCTCTAAAACTGCTTTGTTGGACATAATCATCAACATGATTTTAGACAAAATATACATCGATTTAATTTCTTTAGAGCATTAAGAATAAAAGAGGATAGAGTGTTGTTTTTAAAAAAGAACTGACCTGTCTGTAGGTGAATCGCTGGGCCCCGAGTATCTCAGCCCTGTTCCATTGTCAAGGGACGCCTGTCTGGACAGGAGCCCGCCGCGAGGTCTGCTTCTGTCTGACGCTGGTGTCAAGTCCCCTGAGGCTCCCTGGTGGGCATACAGGGATGGGTCGTGTAGTTTGGCCTTTTTTCCCTGTGGCCCACCCTCAAACACGCCACGCACCTGACCGGGCTCCGAGTCGTAGAACCACGCTCCTGATTTAGTGAGGATTTCTTGTTGTTTTCGGCACAAGTTGCATACCCACATAACCTGTAAGCACAGAAGGGGGATTTATACTTCCCAAATTCACAAAGACATCTTTTTTTAAATGTTATTTTGTGACAAATTGTGATGGCAGGAACGGGGTGTCTTTCCAGGGCTTTGAAAAGGATTCATGTCCTTTGACCTTTAATATGATGTTCATGTTCAAACGATGCATGAGAATGCATTTTAATTGGTTTCTTCATGACAGATCTAATCAAAGTAGCCAACTTTTGTGAAATGGAAGGAAAATGACAGGTGATCTAAAATTTTTTCTAAAAAAAAAAATCACAATCTTTGATTTTTTTTTTATCTTTTTTTTTTTTAAGTGCCTTGACGTTCAACCACCATTGATTTCAAAAGATCATACAGCTAGGTGTGCTTCTAATAGCTTAAACTGCTGGAAACTGATCAGTATTTATATTACTCTTCATAAAATAGCCAAACTTAATCAGGTTGGATGAAAATCATGGACTTTTTAAAATCTTGTCCAAAAAAAAAATACAATCAGGTTTAAATTAAAATGACGTTTTAGATAGGATCATTTTAACAGATCGTTTTGCTTTAAACTAAAGTATATAATGCACCTGGGTGTTGCACCTTGGTGTATGGGGCACACCAGGGGTCTTCAACGTTTTCCAGGCCAAGGACCCCCAAACTGATAGCAAGATAGAGCGGGAACCCCCTAATTTTATATATATTGTATGAAATTGTGTAATATCAAACTGGTCCTATAGTCACTTTATAACATATGGAGTAATGTAACCAAAGTAAATTTGATTATTAAAGTATTTCTGATTCCTGGTTGATGGGACAGGTGTTGTGAATGAAACGGTGCCCAGCTTGAAAGAGCTCCTGTGTGTTTCTGAATGTGTGCATTGATGACTGAAAGACATCTTCTGCCTCCATTTATCTGTTTACTACAGGGTGTTCAATTCATGTCAATGTGGATTTAAAGACATTTCAATTAGTGGAAAATATTGCAGTTATTGCAAAACTTTCATGACCCCCATGCAGTACCTCCACGGACCCCCTAGGGGTCGCGGACCCCCTGTTGAAGACCTCTGGTGTACACATTTAATCTCTAATTCACTATCCATACATTTTATAGTATAACTGTTCTTTTTCCAGTATTGTTCTTTATTTCCCTAATTTAATCTTTGTATCCACTCTCAATCGGTTTTCTGTCTGCATTAAAAAAAAGCTCAAGATATTGTTTTTTCTTTTATTTAACCGTACTTTGAGGTACAGTACGGTGCACTGCATGGTGCTGTCTACTCCCTATAGACATGCATTAGAGCAAAAGGGGTTGAATATATATAAACAATAAACTTTGGCGAATTACATTTGTAAGACAAAACAAAGAAAATCCTAATTCTCTTGCTTTAAACATCACATTTGACTTTGTCATCAATTTTGACTTTGAAAGTTGAAATTATGACTCTAAATATCATAATTATTACATTGTTATGACATATTCATGACATATCAGGATTATGACATATTATTATTATGACTGAATTCCATAATTTTAACTTTCAAAGTAGAAATTATGAATTTGTATCTCATAATTATGACTTTAAACTCAATTTTTAATTTGTAGGATAATTATGACTGAATCACATAATTTTGACTTTCAAAGCCAAAATTATGACTTTGTTTCTTACAATTATGACATTAATATCATAATTATTATTTCGAAACCTCGTAATCCTGCCATGCCACGTGCCATTTCTTTACTTTCAAGTGGTGGAAATGTGCTTCCATACATTTGTGGCTGAAATGTAACAAAACATGATAAAGTCAACATGACATAAACACTTTTGCAAAGTTCAATACAAACACAGCTGCAGCATAAATAAATGTATAAGACATCAAATCGCAGCTGCAGGATGAAAATGACTTTTTAACATTGCTTAGAGACATTTAAGCCGTGTAGTAACACAGATGGTATAAATCTTACATTTATCTTAAAGACATGAATAATGAAAAGTTTTACACATTCAGCAGCTTTTGCAATCCTTAAAAAGAGAAGTAATTTTTGTTATATATTTAGTTTCTGTGAGTCCATTCAGTAGATGTTTTGTGATTTAATGATGCATTAAATTCATGTTTTTTTTATTGCTAACTGAACAGAATCCTTTGACTTAAGTGTTTTTATCAAATATTGCATGTCATGACAGGTTAACATGTTGCTGGGAAAGAATGTTGTGCTTTTGAAAAAAAAACCAAGAGGATTTTGATGTCTCTCACATATTCAGATATTTTAAAGCTTTCTTGTTATAAGCCAGGAATGAATCATGATTCAGGTTTTTTTCCTATGGATCGACTAATAGGACCAAAAGGCTGAAAAACCAGCTGAGATGAGTTAAGCTTCCATTACTATTAGTGACGTGACTGGACCCCAAATTAACCAATATGCTATTTCTATAGACCAACTGAACTCATTTAAAGTGGTGTCTGAGCTGCCAGTGTCGGAAGGACACAAACACACCTGAATTTACCAACTGTGGGACATTTTTTATATTTTATTCTATTAGTATCTGCTCACAAACAAAATACAAATTGAAGTAAGACAAAAAAGAAGAAGAATTGAAGAATTGAAGTGGTTCCTGACCAGACAGTTGCCTGACTTCATGGCCAGATATGGAAAAACTGCTTACAATCCTAAAGGTGCTTCACAGCTGTGGAGCTCCAGGGAGGGATGAATCACAAAAACTGTAAAGGCAAAGCACTGAGACAGACCTCCACCTTTTCTTGGGATCCCTCATCACATAAGGAAGCACAGCGATACTGAGCAGACACATAGTTTGGGCCCAGATCTTCAAACGAGAGGCTCTGTACCCATGGGATTTTCTAGTCAGGAGCCAACGGCGGCCAGTGCCCCTATAGATCATGTCCTGGCCCCTGTTATGGCCCCTGTACTGAAGATATAATACTCAAAGAAATTCTAATAATGAAATGCGCTGGAACAGACATGGTTACTAATAGGTTCTTTGGATCTCTTTCTTTTTTTTTTCTTTACAAATTTTGTTTTAGTAATTATTTAAAAACAATAAGGTGATAGCTTCACTGGTATTGAGATAGTACTGAGTGAAGCCACATATCATATCGCCACATTCTTCCACAAAAACAATTATTCAAGCTTAAATTCTTAATTATTTGTTGTTTTTTTTCCAGTGATGCACAACGAATAATTATTTCAAAGAATCACTTGTCTAAAACAAATACAGAAAAAAAAAGCAATGAAATAAGAAAAAAATCTCAGCTGAGTTTTCACCTCAACAAAATGGACATTTTCTCAGCAGGCAGCATGCATGGTACAAGATGATACTGACACAGGAGACATTTATGACCAGCTATCACTGTTACAGATGTGCTGTAACTGTGCTGACACACAATGGAACCGGGGAGGCTATAAATTGCTTTTTATGTATCCCAGAGGAGTGCATGCAGTGAGGCAATGGCTGCCTCATGTAAGTGGGGTCATACTAAGAACTCTGCAGTGAACCAAATGTCTGGTTAAGACCTCAGAAGCACCTGGATAAGCACAGATCTTATACGAGGCATGCTCTATCATAACAGTATAACAGGAAGCCCATAAAATCTGATTAGATTTTTATCTTTTGAAAACGTGTTAAAGAAATTCAGTATCAGATTGGAAGAAAGAGAGGTGCCTTTGTTCAGGAGTATAACATTATGCAGATGCTGTTATTATAACGTCGGTGTGTGCAATGTTGTGATCACATAGAAGATTTGTTAGGTTATTATATTTTAAGCATCATGCATTCCTGCCCTGGTTGTCAGTGATATATTCGTCTATTAGCATAAACTCATGCTGCCCTAGATGCCCTGTGTTATAATACAATGCAAAGTTTACCTTGCACAAGATATAAAAGAAAGAGAAGATCAGAAGAAATGTGGGTCAGTGGAAATTGATGCTATTTTCACATTATTCAAAAATGTTTTCAAACTGCGTGTTTTCCTGCATAGGTGTCAAAAATACTGATGTTTTTAATTTAAGTAAAAGTATAGATACATGTGTGGGAAAATGTTCTGGTAAAAGTACCGACTGGGCTGCTTTACTTAACCCTTTAAAACCAAGTTTATCATTTGATACATGCCTTTTAGAGATCTCTACATCATTAGTGGGATATTTTGTTCTTGAAAACCCTGCTTTAGACAATCAGGTACATGTAGGGAAGAGAAAATCTAGGACAACTTGCATGTAAATACCTAGTGTATGACAAATAATTCTGCAATTAATGGTTATTTTGCAAATCTGTCGATTATTTTTTAAATTAACCAATTAATAAACAGATAAACAAAGATTCTTTAAGAAAAACTTTATGAAATTAGACCAGGTGAAACTCAAACTTTTCCACTTGAGGGGTTCTGGATAGAGCAGATTGACAGAAGAATTTTTTTTTTATCTTAAAGGAAAAGTCCGGGCAGCAAGGAATTATCAGTGGATCATCATCTATACCTAAAACTAATATGTTCGTAGTGATTTATTGAATTTAGCGTTATTTAGTAAAAAACAAAAATTATATTTTTCAATGCCATCACTGAGTCGGGGAGCAGCCATTTTTGCCCAGATAAAGTAACACCTCACTCCTGACATCTTCCAGTGACGTCACGGTGCGGTAAGCCTAGCGCCATTTTCCCCGCTTTACAAGCAGAATCAATGGGAACTACTAGACACAACTATTAAAGATTTCCAGAGGTCTTCAATTCAATTCAGTTTATTTCTATAGCGCCAATTCACAACACACACAGTTCACCAGATCATCCTGTCAAATTGATTCAAAGTTTTCTAAGGAAAACCAGTTGATTGCATCGACTCATTGACTCGAAGGCAATCCCTCACACTAAGCATGCTTGTAGAGAGGAAATTCACTTCACTTCACCATTGAAATTCACATTGAGCTATAGTTAAACTGACAATGTGCATGGCAGTTGGATGTTGTGATACATCGGGTAAAAGTGAAAAAAACATTTGTTATTTC